CTCTGAGAGCTCAGCAGAGGCTGTTCCATTACCCGACCGTCTTTTTGGTGAAGAATTTTTTCCTGATATCCAGTTTGAACCTTCCCTGTTGCAGCTTCATGCCATTCTCATATTCTCACAAGGAACTAAAGCTCTGCATAAAAACATCTTCTCCAAGGTTACACCATGAATTTACAGCAAATCACAACGAAACATTCTGTACAATATCTTTCACCACCAAAACAGCTTTGTGTTCTTGCACACAGGAAGTACACAGAAGTCAGCACAGCAACAGCAAGATGCATGTCTGCCTGCGTCCAATTTGTTAATCCCTAGCAGTAGGTACTTCTCACCTGCATGGAGGTGCCCTGATGAAGATTCTGAAGCAAATAACATTTTATTGAGCTCCTTGGTTGTACACAGCATTGTGTCTTTTAGTGGTGGCTTATGATGTTGTCAAGTCACAGCACAGGTTTTTTTTTTTTTTATCTCTGTACTCCTTATGAATACTATGAATACAGAATACTATACAATTGTATACAAAGCAACAAGCAATATACTGCACATGATACACTCCTTGGTGTATCACCAACAATTTACTAAGGGGTTGAGAAACAGGAAAGGGAAAGACCGAGAAATAGTCTCTTGGACTAGAAAACACAGAATGAGGGAAACTGGATTTTAGTATATATGTAGATGGTAGCAATAAGCTGAGGAAGACTGAGAGCTGAGATGGATAACATGTGTGAATGAAAACCAAGAGAAAACTGAATAGAAGGGAAAGAACTTATAGACAGCTGCAACTTCAAAGGACACAGTATTGAGATCACTCATTCATTTGTTGATCATATTATTAACTGTGGTTATTAGTTTGCTATGATAAACATCATTCATGATATCAACATGATAAACATCATTCAGAACCAGGGTTCCATTTTGCCAGATGCCTTAGTAGTCATTCAGTTAGACTTTGATCTTGATCTAAACAGCTTACAATTACAGTAAGAAAGTCCCACCTTCAGGTATGATGTCACAGGGAGGAGTTCATGGTGATCAGCAATTGCTCTCATATTTGTTTGTTTCAGTTTCTTAACCAACTAAGAAATCACTGTTCACAGGCCTTGGTGCAACCTTTGTAGGATCTACATAACTATTTCTCTGTCTTTGTTCAGATTCCTATTACCAAGCATTTCTCTTCACCTACCATGATGATTTCTCCCAGTGCAAATGCAGCCTGCCTGAACAGCCAGTATCATGAGGAACTTTTATCATATGCCTTGCAAAGACAAAAATGCTCTTCTGAGGACTACATCATCCTAGGTGACCACATTCATTTTAACAGGAAAGCAATCTCAACGTGAGTTTTAGTGCTGGTTAGCTCACCTTTGCTGCCTGTCTGCCCACTTCACACCATAGCTTCTGCTGTCTTCTCTGTCTTCCATATTGGAAGTGTGTAAGCACGGGGGCTGCAAGTTCAAGTTGCGCTCCCACAAGCCAGGCAGTACAGCACACAGCAAGTTGGGGCAAGCAACCTGCAAGCTGTTTGCACTGCAGGCTTTGGGGAGGGGAAGCTAAAGTGGTTGTGGACACAAGCACAGCAGCAGCAGCAGCTTTAAGAGCAGCATGGGTGCTATCAGAGTGAATGTTCAAAATTCACTGCCTGCAGAAAGGCTATGGCCAGCATTTAACTGCAGGCACAATGTAAAGGCCTCACATGTGGCAGCAGCTCAGCAGTCAAGGTTTGTGCTGATAGCCAGGCTGTTTACTTTGCATTCTTTCACTTCTGTGCATGAAACATCCACACTGAAAATGAAATCTGCACTGGGAAATTTACACAGTGTGGGTCTAATTCTTGTCTACAATTAGCATGTGATTGAAATGCACTTGTATTTGGCCAGTAGGTAAATCTCTCCAGAAGGAAACTCTCACATGGTGGAAATGCAGCATTCTGCATAAAGGTATCTTCAAAGAGGTCTGTGAAGAAATGGGTGGGAGGACTTGGGAATGAAGAATGAGCCCTCCTACGAAGATCTTGGATGGTGGACCAGCCCTTGACAAACAAGACTTCTGCAACAACTGATTTCTTCCTACACTTGGTAGGAGCCTTTTGAAAGCTAAACTCCATCATGCCAACTGACAGGAAGAGCAAGACAAGATCATGGGAAGCCACTGAATGGAAGAGCAAGGTCAGTACTGAAAATAAAACTGATTTTGCCACTACAAGGATAGCAATGAGATCATAGCACCTGTCTTTGGTCTCTCTTGTACTTGGCAGGAAACACTTTTGGTGCAATCCAGTGCAGCTGTTGTGCCTTATGCCCTTCAGTGGGAATACAGGAATGGGAAGAGCACAGGCCCTTCTCACCTTGTTACTTCTGCACCCAGTTGTTGTCATGAACACAGCTGACTTCCCCCCTTCCCCAAGCAGTAGCAGCAGACTGCAAGGCCAGCACTTCTCTGCTGGTAGAAAGCAGCCATGTTCTTGTACCTGCCCTAGAGATGTGTCACAACTCCCTATTTCACCTGTTCTTCAAGCCAGTCTGATGACTGATGGCACCTGAAGACTTCAGGCACTTAAAAACACAGATCTCCACATATTCACCCTGTGCAGCTGCAGAGAAAGAGCACCATCCAGGCAACAAGACACTATGTGCAGGCATGGTGGACAGATTTATGAAGGTTCACCCACAAGGTTTTCACAATTTAAAAGCCAGATCTGGAATGAATACATGGGGACAATTGTCTTTGTGTGAGAGGGAGCCCTAAATAATGCATAGAAATGGCTTTTTCAGGTCAGCCAGAAAAGATCAGATTTTCTCCAGCATGTATTTCTGCTATGTAAGGCAAAGTGGGGGAAAAAAAAAAAAGAAAAAAAAAAGGCTATGACTATTTAATCAGCAGTATAAACACACAGACCTCACTAAAGTTGATAACACCCTGAAAGTGGTTTTTGTGTTTTCCTTTGACAGAAAGGAATCTGGGCTCCCATCCAATGCAAAGTGAGCTGTAACTTACCAAAGTGAAACCCTCTGTTGGCCTCCAAGACCTAGATCTCTGAGCTATAGACCTCATAAGCCACAGATCTCTTGGGTGAGCGAGGCAGGGAAAAGAACGTCTTGGTGTTTGCCCTGTCCAAGAGAATCTGTTGTCCACTTCTGAGAAGAGATTCTCAAGCCAGATGACAGCTCTGGTAGCACCATTTTTACAACTTTGATAGAAAATCTGTAGTCAAATTCAAATGTGCAGAAATTGCAACAGCATCTTGGGAATGCTGTGTTCTAGTTAACATAGGAGCAAATCATTCTGATTCATGAGTAAGCCGTACACGTATCTCATTTCAACATGCATTAGTAGCCTACATTAGTAGCCTAATTTGTGTTATTACGCTCTCACTGCATACAAATAGGACCATTTATCTGACACAAAGGTTCAGGAGATCGTGATCATAGCAGATTGCCACAGATATTCTGTAATGTGAAAAACAAGTCCCGTGTTATACAATATGTGCAAGATCTAAGGAGGAATGAATGCAGTGGGTTGTGTGTAGCAATCCCTCTGCACAAAGGAGGATGCTGTCTCTCCTTTAGCTGCAGAGTGCCACAGACAAAAGGAAGCAAGGTATACATCTTTGACCTGTGGTCTTCGAAAAAATGAAGCCTGACCTAATCAGATCCTGACTGTATCAATGCACTGATGGCTTCTTGCAGCTTGAATTATTTCTTTGCCATCTTTCAACTTTGTCAGCATCTCTTTCTCTCTTAATAAGCTTAAATTATACAAAAATAGCTATTGAAACAAGTAACTTTGTGTGGGAAATACAACTGTTGGATTCTACTTTTCCTAAAATGTATTTTAAACTAAATGTTTCAACTGCTTACAAACATGTGAGTAAATTCATGAATTAAATGATAAATGCATTTCCACAAAAAGTATTATCCAAAATAATCCCAGAGCAAAGACTAATTCTAAACCCAAAATTATTTGTAATTTTAGTTAGAGATACTATTATCAGTTTTATTGAATTATGATATAAATCTATTATTATGTTTAAAAAATTACTTTATATCAGCTTTCTTCTTAATAGTGACTAATTTCTCACTTATTGACATGTTGACAGCAAATACTAGCCTCTAAAAAAAAGTAAGAAAAACCTTAGGGTCAATCCAGTAATTTTCTGAAAGCCTCCATGGAGGCAAATAGCAAATACTCTTGCTGAGTTCGCTTGTGTTTATTTAGCACATAAAGATTCCTAACCACCTCCCTCCTATTGCATTCCTGGCTTGTTCCTTCTCCCCAAGACAGATATTTGAGCTGTCCTGCAGCTTGTTTTCTTCTACCTCAGTAGCCTCTGAGATTTTCTGTCTTCACTTCCACTCTCACCCATTCCACCAAGCTCCCAGAAACATTTCAGTCATGCTGTTTTTGCCTTGAAAGTCTGATATTTCAAATGCATTTCAGTAAACACGTCACAGAAAGAGTTAGAAAGAGTTGTCTGAGAACAAACTCATACAATATATAATGCTTATAATGCTCCTTTTTTTTTAATCAAACACAAAAATGTGAAAGTGCCTGAATGTTTTTCTGCTGTCTGGTAAGACAGAGAGATGGTAGTAAAGCTCCAGTGTTACCACATAGCCTCTAGCAGCCACTCATTGTCAGTGTTGGCATTTTCATCTAGAATTAGAGGTGCAGCTTTCATCACAGCACATCACAGAACGTAACTGATAATTAACAGCTGTATTTGTTCAGCAAAACTGGTTCTGAAGCTTTTCAGCTGTTAAGACACTTCACATTGTACCTCAGCAGACCTTTGATATTTCCATTAATAGCAACGCTTCTGTAAACTGAAGGGTATTGTTTATAACAGACTGTATTGTAAGATTAGTCCAAATTCAAATATACAGCAGTATCTGGAACCATGGTGACACTTTATAAACAGACACAAGTTACAGTGTTCAGTTATACTCACTGCTTTCAGAACTGAGCTACTGAGAAGTGCAAGGAAAGACTGTGATACTCACACAGATCTGCCTTTCTCAGATTTCTCATCCTTATGATTTTTACAGAGAGGGAGCTGCATGGGCATTCTTCACACTGCAGGACAGTGACAAAACAATTGCAGAATTAATGAAACATTTATGCTTCAAAAAGCATGCCCTCACATAAATATTTGTTGCAATTTTTAAAATCATGCAGCAAAATTGGAAGAATAATTCTCCTGCCCTTCCACAAGGAGAGTATAGTTTTGCCCTTCTCATGAGGCTGTTTCAGTGGTTGAGGACAGGGAAAAGAGAAGAGAGGATGATTAGGGGACCATTCTCTGCCCAATGTTTCTGTAGCTAGTTGAGTTAGACTCATTTGGTTTATTTGTTAAGCCATAAGAGTCCCAAGCTGAAGGGCTCTGAGCACTTTATCACATCCTTCGCAAATTCCTGGTATCTCAGACTGCTTCCTAGCCTCTACATGGATCACCCAATGCATCTTAAATTCTCTTCACTACCAAAAATGCCTCCACAGAGCTACCAATATCAGGAAACCCATCAAGTTGTCTAACATAAGTAAAAACATGCATGAATTTGGACTGTCATCTCCCAAGACATCTCCAAGGCACAGGAATCCCAATCTCAAACCCATTGCTGGCCAACTTCAGCTTTTAATGGATTACAGTCTGAATTTCTTACCTCGTGAGCACTCCAATATGATCCCATCATGCTCCCAGCTGCATACAAGTGAGCTATGGGTGTCACATCAGTATTAGAGACAACAGTTGGCAGTGACTCATGAAGTACCTCTGCAAACTTGAGAGGATTATCCATGCCCCACCTTCTCTAGTGAAAGGGAAAGTATGGACAGAAAAGGGGAGGGAATTTGTGGAGAGTGATATCTGAACATCATGGGTGTGCATTGAGGGAAGGCTTTACACACTAGAGCTAATAGCAAATCAAGGTAAGAGTCCAAAGAGTGCACACAGCACAAGAATGGATACCCATGACTTGGCCACCTAACAATGCACAAATAGAGAAGATAACAGCAGTTATGCATAAGTCAAAGAAAAACAGCAGCTCTACAGCACTGCAATCAACAGTTAAAAGGGTTTTGGATAAAACCTTTGAAGACTCCAAAATTCAGCCAGATATTGTTTTATTTTTCTTTGAGGTGGGAGGGGCAGAGTTACTTTTTTGTTGGATTTTCCTCACTTTTGTATATGTATTTGATCATCTTGGTTTATATTTTTTCCTGCTTTCAGGACACTCCCACAAACAAAAAACAGAGTAAACCAAGAAAAAAAAAGAGCACATTTTCCTCCAAATTAGTACATACAGCAGATATGTGAGTAAACAACCCTTCCATGAGTCCAGCTACTAACATGCCCAAATATCTGAAATGAGGCGTCCACTTGAGAACAGTTAGAGGTGATACTGCATTCTCACAGTACCCATGCCTGCCTTCCTCTTCTGCAAACATCAGGAAAATATGCAATAAAGAGTAGTTCTGGCCTGATATTCTATCCAGAAAGACACTGAAAAGCTCAAAAGAAGGAACCTGATCTGTTAAAATGGGCATTGTGACTGAATCCTTAATATCTGCCAGGGACAGACTCACCATGTTTGTCATTTAGTCCTGCTGTTATTTCTTAAGATCTGAGCACTGCATCAGCTTTGCCAAGTCTGTGAGCTCCTGGGATATGCCAGTTCAGTTTCATATTTCAGCTGTTGTCCCTTGTCAGGGATCTTTTTTGGTCAGGATTTTACCATCTTAGATAAGACAAGGCTTAGTTAGTGCTAGGAAAAGGGGAATAGCTTTAAACTGAAAGAGGGGAGATTTAGGTTAGCTGTTAGAAATTAATGTTTTACTTAGAGGGTGGTGAGGTGCTGGTACAGGCTGCCCAGAGAGCTGTGGATGCTCCATTCCTGGTGACATTCAGGGTCAGGGTGGATGGGGCCCTGGGCCTTGATCTGGTGGGTAGCAGCCCTGCCTATAGCATGGGGCTTGCAACTGTATGATCTTTAAGTTCCCCTCCAACCTAAGCCATGCTGTGATTCTGTGTTAAGGCTTGACTTGTCTCAGGACTTTTCAATGGTAAGTGGTGAGCTTCTTCCTGTTACTGCCATCTTCAGACTAGTTAAACCATAGAAGATAAGAGAGAAACTGTCTATGTGCCTTTCTGGGAAAAGCAGAAAAAAAATCTCGTCTATCTAAGGAGATGAGGGACTACTGTGACTCTCAACCTAGCTGGCCATTGACAAAAGCCCAGCTAGCAACTCCTATCCATGTTTCACAACCCCCCTGTGGGTCTAACGCCAAAAAGACTAGCTCCAATTCTAGAAAAGACTGTTGTTCTCCAATAATTTGCCTTTGAGGAAAAATTTGTATCAGAAATAGAAACTGCACATCCTTCTCTGGTGGAATTTTCTTCACTTGTGTGAGTAGATTCACTTCTCCAAATGCATGAGCTTATTTATTTTTTCACCAAAACAGTTTATATTTTTTTTCACAGTATCTGAAAAAAATATCCAGAACAGCAAAGGATTTACTTATAAAATTCTCATTAGCTGGAAAGGAAGAAATGTAAGATAATTATTATGCTGTATACCCTCACTCAGATGCAATGATGATTGACCAACATCCATGCTTAAGTGGACAAGCTCTTGATTCTTTGGAACAACAAAAAATCACTTCCTGTGTTACAAACCAGTCTCATGTACAGCTTGAAAAAGAGTGCTGTGTTTTTTTTATGGATTGCTCATCAGGTTGCCCTCATCATTTAATGCATTCCCAGGAAATGATCTGGATGTTTCTTCATCTGTTCTGCGGTAGTTGTTCTGATGTTTGAGAGCTGTCATGTGTTTATGTGCATTTAAGCCAGCTTTTTTTTTTCCCCTTAGCCACTGTATTTCAATGTACTTGTCAAATGACTAGGTTAGTCTGTGGTAATTGTAACATACTTTTTACTAGCGTACCTATCAGCTGTATTGCACTTTTTATAGTTGTTTAACAAGTGTGAAACAGCAAAAAAAAAAAAAAAAAATTACCTCATTCCATTTCAACAGTGTGATTCTGTGTATGCCATTATCATAAAACTCAGTGTTCCCCTCACATGCTATTTGTTTTGGTAATATTTCAACTCACTACACCAAACAAGTTCCAGACAATGCTGAAGCAAAATTGCTTTCCAGAGAGATAACTGCAGCACACGTATGCAATCTGAGTCAGAATATGGTTATTGTGGGAGAAAATGGTAATAACCTTTCAAAACAAATTCAGAAGTACATTTAATTGATAAAAAGGTGTCATTGAAGACCTAAAGGCCACCATCTATCTATCTATCTATCTATCTATCTATATATATATATATCTCCATCACTCAACACGTCTGAAAAATTAAGTATGATATGATAACTCACAACAGTTAATGACAAAAAGCATATGTGAGAAACAAAACTATTATGAGGTAGAACACCATTTAATTCAAGTTATTAGAACCAAGTAAAATGTTTTAATTGATACTGCTTGGTCACCACCTTCTATGAGCTTCATGAATTTGCTACCTGCAGTCCCAATGAAATGCTAGAATATTTTGCATATGAAAAAATACTAACCACCGAAACAATAAGAGAATGCAGAGAAAAAGTTAAAACTACTTCCCTATCAGACACAGCTGAATTTGCATTCTGTGCATAACAATAAGATGATATTAAAATCAGACCAGTCTATCTGATATCAAAATTCTGATAAAAAATAGCATCTATTCTTAGTAAACTGAACTGTGCGGCTCTTTCAAGTTCTGGAGTTTTTTTATGAGAAGGCTATATGGAAATAAATGGCACTCCCCAAGACGAGTGAAGTAGCTATTGCATTTGATAGATAATTCTGCATAGTTGTGATAAATACTTAGTAAGAGAGAAAGTACTGTTCAACCAGTAGCCTGTGCCTGTGATACAGGCTGGCTTGGAGCCTGCTTCTTCCGAGCCACAGCCATGCGCAAGGCCTGAATAATCATATTCTCATTGTTCATGATGTTGTAAGTAGTCAGCTTCTGGAGTTTGTTGAAATCTTCTGCTTTCAGTGACACTTCCCTTGTTGAGTATGGAGAGCAGAAACTGGAGAGATCAACCTTGCCCTGTTCCATTTCTGCAGCACTGCGAGACATGCCTGTCAGAGGAAAAGAAGGAGTTTGTATAGTCCCAGGGAACTACAGTCCTCTGATAGACTATGTCAATAATAACTTAGAGAGATTACAGATGTGGTTGCAAGCACAAGTGCAATGCTCTGATCTCTGAAAAATGTACTTCTGCACAAAGTCTTTTTGGAATTCATGAACAAGTGTCACTAGACATCATTCCATTGCAACTAGTACCTTCTACTGGTCGACTCATAGCATGCCATCTTATGAGGGTCATTCAAAGTCTTACCCCATGGGTCACAAATAGAATACATACTAACGGTAGAAGGAATAAAGAGATGTACAGCACAGGATAAGGCAGAACATCTGTTGCCTTGGAAATCATAATAAAAACATTGGCAGTGTCTAAAACACTGGCCCAAAAGGACACCGTGACTGCATTTAACAAGTCTTAGTTTACATCCTATTGCTTTCATTTCCCAACACATACAAGAAATGCATTAAACAACCCAAAAAGAAAGCACAGTGCTCCTCCTCAGTAACATTCTGTACTGTAAAGGTAGTTTTTCCTAGATCTCAGTGTCATAAAATACATTATTTGAAAACTGCGCTTTGTTCTTCACTGTGAAGTAAAATTCTAGAGATCACAAGAAGAAATAAGTTCCTATTCCTCTACTTGAGGAATGCATTTCTTCTTTCTCTGAACTGCACCAACTCTCAAACTGAAATTATACACAAGATTTCAAAAGTAGTTAGTGTCATCTGCACTACATTTACTAGTAGGAACAAGCAAGCAAAGGATTTTTGTATTGGGATAAAGAAGAAACACTCAAGGTCAAAACACTCACTGTGTCAATAAAATAGCTGGATAATATTAACTTACCAGGTGCTACATATCTTTGGAAAGTGTCATTCACTAGTGGAAAGTAAAGCAGGAGAGGAGCTCCGGGGGAGTCTGCACCATCGAACACATAGCACTCTTTCAGGTTCTTCTCATCATCTTTCAGCCCAAAGTTGGGAAATGGAATTCCCTGCTCTGAGAAGTAACTGCAAGCTTGCTTTAGAGGCTGGTCATTGCCCAATAGCAGCAGTATAAAAAATGGAAAACATACACAAGATTAGGTTGTTTTTGTAGCCCTGTAATTCACGTTAAATTGCACAAGATGACTCAATAGTACTGTAAAAATGAAGATAATGTGAGCACATGCAATCCCTAATTCTCCTGTCGCCTGGGGAGTTATTTGAAAATAGACTTGAAATAAAATACCTGGTATTAAGATGGCAAAGAGGGTTTAAATTTGTGCCAAGGCACATTTCTAAAACTGAAGTATAACTTAGGATGAAGGCAAGTAATTTCAAAGATTGTTAGAGAGCATCATTAATTAAAAGAGAATTATGTTAGAATTATCTTTTTTTTTAATCTGAACACAACTAAATTTGCAACCCTAAATTTGCTGTTAAAGACAGTAAGATTCACAGTTATACTATCTGTTTGTGTAGCAGTGGTAACTTGTGAGTAGACTTCAGTGGACTGTAGCTGTAGGATTTTGAAACGAACTTGCCCAATTTACACTTCAGGTTTTAGAAATAATGTGAAATTTCTAGCATTTTATGAGTATTAAATCTGAAAATACAAAACTAAATTACAAAGCTCATTTGTGATACTGAAACTTTGTTAACGTACCTAACAATACATTGAAATAACACCTCAGTTTGTTTGAATTAAATATTTCTGAAGGACTTGAGATTACTAGAAAGAAATGTCAGTACAAGCAACTGTACTTTTCCAGCTGCGGAACAGAGATAAACATTTTTTTCATCTGGCATTACAGTGCAGGAATAGCATTAAAGTATCATCTACTTGAAATCAATGACAGAACCTTAACGAGTGAACTTTGTGTTTTCTGTGGTGCACTTCAGAGGCAGGTTTACAATTACAACAACACATTTGGAATTCTGTCTTTTTATGTGGTGAATATCACTTTTGAAAACTATATAACCATTTTATAATCAGACTTCAGCAAACACAGTAAGTGTATTTGATACCTTTCTTCAAGATAACCACATTAAGAGAAAAAATGCATTCATTGAAAGAAAATGAAAATAAAGACAAAAATTATTCACTTGCCATCTTGGACAAATAAAAAACACTGTCTAATAAAAATACAAATTGTATATGCTTAAGGAAGATGCAAAATAAATTCTGCATCTGAATTAGAGAAAAAGCTTTTCCAACCATATCTGTGCTATAAAATCTTACAGTCACTTGTAATGGAAGTTGCAGCACAACCATAATAACTTCATTGCGCCACTCTGTACGTTATTGGTGAAGCAGAGAGCTTTGACTATTCTACTTAGGGCTCTTTCAAAGGCAATTTTAGAAAAAACTGATATATTCTTCCCTCTGAGAATTTCTACTCTTCTTTTAAGGTTTGGAGACACTTTTATCAACTTCCACTAATAACATTTTATAAATGCTTGTCCAAGAGTCAAAAAAAGCAAACAAAAAACCATTATTAAACAATGACATTTTTTATTTCTCACCAAGGTCTGCGATCCACCAGTGTAATTTAAGTGTATGATGACATCCACTTTCCTCTCTGGTCTCATAAGGGGTGGACAGCTAGTTTCAAAAAAGAAAGCTGCATCCACCAACTCCAAGTGCTCTGAGTGGCCTCTCAGATCATTGGGAGAAGTGTCCAGCAAAGTGTCTAAAGAATAAAAATTTGGAGCTATTAGTAAGCTGCAGAAAAACATCAGTGAAGTTAGAAAACAAAAGGATGGCAAGCTCCCCTCCCATTCCAGATTTTTCCTTTGCTTTTGGATGTCATGCAGCAATCCTAAAACTTTCTTTACCCTCTCCACTCACATTTTGTCAGTGTTTCCAAACCCATGAGCTGCAAAAAAACCCATGGCAGGTTTTCTGTACATGCAAAGCCCATCTCTAGTTATTTTATTCCCAATAAGGACTGTCACTAGTGAACACCCCCACAATTCAATAGTTGTGATATTGGAAGTATGCATGAGCAGGAGAGTTGTCTATACCTTTCCATCTTGCAAACTGTTCATGCTGGATGTACTCATTGTGCATCTGGAAGCCCCTCAGGAAGTTGTGGTACTTGGAGACAGCAGGGCGGTCTGTCAGAATATCCCGCAGAGTTGTGGAGAGGCCGCTTGTAGGAGTGAACATGCACGTAGCCATCTCATAGGGCTTCTCAGGCAAGTCTGGTTGTTCCTCTAGAGGTACATGACATAAATTACATGCAGTTGAATTATAGTTCACATATATATGATCAGGAACAAAGAGGAGGAAGAATCAGCAACAGAAATGTCACCCAAATCTGTTCACTATGGAATCACTGATTTCACTTGAATTTTAACATGAAGGTGCTCATGGATGTTTTTAAGGAATGGTCATTTAGTACAGAGCTGCCCTTCTTAGCTGGTGTTATGCATCCTTACTCTATTGACTTCCTCGGACCTCTACTAGATCTTGCAGTTCAGCCAGATTTTGAGGGAAAGATGCACAATTTAGGGGGAATAAAATTGAAAAAAGAAAACTCTCAAGCTTCCTTCTGGCTAAAAATGGAGATGACATGAAGCCTTGGCAGAAATATTTCTTTTTAACTCAGCACCTTAGAGAACACCTTATATATTCATCCCTACCTTCTTTCTATCAAGGTCTGTCTGATGGTGCCTTATCTTCCGATATAAATCTCACCATTGCCAGTCTCAGATTAAGCAAAGCATTGGCTATTCAGTAACATCAAATCACTTCACATTCCCAGTGTCTCCACTACTTTGAGATCAAGAGCACCACAAAACAGAGAAATATGAGTGCAATTACTTTATCATAGGGGCCTGGAAGAAGAAGGCCATAAGTCAAAAAGGTACTGAGGATTTACCTATTTCAGTCACTTTGTCTTGGGTCCATCTGTGCCAGAAGTCCTCTGAATTGTCCGCTGCATGCCAGGCATCCAGGAGGTTTTTGGAGAAGATACTACTCCACATTCCTAGGAAGTGAGAGAGGTATAATAGGCATTACTGAGGTAAACATAAGGAATTGATTTAAAAACTGCCTTCTGCTCTTTCCACAGCTTTTTTTTTTTTTTTTTTTCATTTCTATCCAGCTTTTAAATGGGCCCAGACATCTATTTCAGTGCTAAACTTGATTCATAATGCAAACTTATTTCAGAAGAAATATCAGCATTCTTTTCCTACCACCATGTTTTACTTAGAACAACATATATATAGGCAAAGACAAATTTTGCATTGCTCTTTTCTCTTTCCATAAAGGATTATTTTCAGCCAGTTTCTTCACTGATTCCCCTCTTTTATTTCTTGTCACTGTTTCCTTCAGCTTCTGCCAAGTCACATAAGTTTGCAACTTTTGAAATGCTTTTCAAGCTAAAGGGAGGTGATATTTTAAAAGCACTTGCAAAAGTATATGACTTTTTTTTTTTTTTTTTAAGGTTAATTTTGTTAGTCTCAGTGATAAAAAACATGGGTACGTATGTGAGCCTCAGAAACACACTGAATCAAAGTGACCGAGGCGTTGATCCCTCTCTGCTGTGACCCAGTGCCTCTGCTACTATATGCTAAACTACAGCTTGCTAGGGACTAATTTTCCAAATCATCAGTGTTTGCATTAAATTCTTGCCATTCCCTCAAGCTGGTAAGTCACCTTGCATGAAGCAGATTCGGGACTCAGGGAGCTTCTTCATCAAGCGACCCATGAAGAATTCACTGCCAAAATCCTCTGCACGAATGAAGGCACCATACTTCAGGAAGCCCACCTCGTAGGGCGTGAACTCTACCCACTCTGACAACACACAGACCAACAGCATTAGCTCCACCAGCCCAGAGGACATAATGTTGTTAAAAGCAGCAACGTGAGCAGACAAAGAGTGAACCTCAGTGCTACTGGAGATAGGCTAGCTTAGCATGAGCCCAAAGCAAACCCTGCTTACCACCACCTATGAGATCCAGCAGGCAACTGAAACAGCAATCACACTTTTCATGAGGTTCGAAAGAATTATGTAGGAGGTGAGGAAAATTTTAAGCAACTCTTTCGAAAGTGGGGTGTTCTCTTATGAAAAGAGGACTAGAATGTGGTTTGTTATCTATTGCACTTATTACCTTTAGTATGAAAAATGCTCATTAAGTGAACTTAAAGTTTCTGGGAATCACTTTCCTTAAGAACTGATAGCATTTTTAAGGCAGTGTCATGGATCTAGGCTGTACTGGTCACCTGGAGGTAATATCTAAATATGCATATTTACATGCCAGGAGATTTTACAAGATGTTAAACTGCTGCTTTGTATCCTATGGTTCCCCAGCTATTGTTTACATTCTCTGAACAGGACTTCTGGCTTGGAGGAAGAATTTAAAATTATTTGTCATTATACACAGTATCTATACGTACAGTGTAAAAATGAATGTCTTTTCCTAGAAATGGAACATCATTACCTCTAAAATCTTTGGTAGTAACTTTATCCTTGACATTCAGGGCAAGGTAGATGGGCAATGGATTCTGGCCCTGGTTCACTGCTCGACGTTGATCAGAAAGCCTGTGGTAGCATTTCTGGATATTAAAAATAATAATAATAATAATAATTTAGAAAAGATTAGCTGATAATCCATTTCATAAAGGCATCATCTTATAATGTCTGAATATGGAATATTATTTATCTTAATTTCCACCTAGAGTTATTTCCATATCACAAATAAAGAGGGCGAGAAAAACACGTGAGAGAGAGAATAACTTTAGTTATGAGAACCAGCCATGTCATACATTCAGTGTATGACACCAGGAATAACATGCTCTAAATGCTGTTCTAGCTTTACGTTGTTAAATACATGGGGAGGGAGAATGATGAACAAACAACAGATCAGGCTAATTCTATTATTATCATATCTTTCATCTGTTTAACATAAGAATTCAAGGCATGGTGTTACTGACACTTCTAGCCAAAAACAGTCATGAAACATATTGGAAGGTGCCATCCACAGAGGAAAAATCCTTGAGCTGTTCAATACTAACAGCTTATCTTTTACATGAAATTGATATATTGAGTGTACTTCAGCCAAATGAAATTCTAGCAACTAGCTAGCAGTGAAGCCAGAAATACAATGTGAAATATGATATGACGCAAAAATATTTGTGTTTTTTTTTTCTGTTTTCCTGCTTCATCTGGGCAAAATATAAATATTTACAGGACTTTAAAATAAAGTTTTTTCTTCAGCTGACATCAGTCTGTCAGTTTACATGGAAAATTTTGCTTAACAGAATTAGGAAGGGGCAGTCTTGAGAGGGCAAATTCAAAACAGCTGAAAACACCTGCAGAATCACTATTCCTGCAACAGATCTACACACTTTCTCAGTGCTAATTCACAAAGTGCAGTAACTACGTAAGGAGCACATCTGCAGTATGTACAATATATGATTACAGCTTGTGTAATACAGCAAACATTACAGCAGTGGAAACATGAAAGTGTGAAGCTGTAAAAAACACTTCAGAATTTAAAAAAATTCTTGGACAGCTACAAAGGTTAATTAGCATGCCAGTTACTTTAGAATTAGTCTGAGCCATTTCTACATTATATTCAGTCACATTTTAGAATTCATTATAGACATGCACTGCATCTCCAAGTTATTACTGCAGTAAGCCGTGTTCTGCCTGCATACCAAGTACAGTGTTACTGGCCAGGTACTTCTTCCTAGGATTTTAATTTCTTGTAATGGTCATAAAGATCATTAACCAACTTTATGAGAAGATAGCTGTGTAGACATTACCCCATCATTTAACATCGATTCAATCATAAGTCCCCACAGATCAATAAAAGATGTTTTATGTCCTGCTTGGGTCCTTTGACTCAGCTCTTTGTAATAATTCCTCAGACTTCTCAAGCAAAAAGCACTCATCTTGCACTTGGCTGCTTGCTTTCGAGCTTCAATAATTATTTCTCCAAGATCCTTATGTGACCACTCAGCATCTTCATACAGTTTTGACATGGTCCTGCAAGCAGGAAACAGGATGGGGAGATGCAAAAATGAAGATGAAGCATTTAAAGCTGAGAGGATATACTTTGGGCACTTCTAACTATACTAGCTTTAGGTCACCCTTCTATTTCGAGCTTACTTTGAACACAAATGCAAATCTATAGATAATCACTTGCTCTGAATCCTATTCAGGCAGCTCCATCAGCTCTCTATGCTGTTTTATCCAACAGTAATTAATTATAAAGGATAATTTTGCGTAGGATTAAGGATCTTTGCACTGTCATTGAAGTTTCAACTTTTAATTGGGGTTAAATTACTTCAGTGACACCAAAAAGTCTGATGCACAACTGACATTTCTTGGGTGACCCCGTTGTTCATTAGACCAAGGAACAAGCAGTAACTCAGTACACCCCTTTTATCTTTTCCAAGATCTAAAGCCCAGACAAAGCAGGGTTTTGCTTCACATAATAAGATCCAAACAATAGAATCAAAATGACTCCTCACCATGTTGTGCCAGATGAGCCACTGATGTATGAAACACAATCCAGAACACGCAACTTTTGAAGACCCAACATGCTGCCATACATTCCTGTCAGTGCTCTTATCCCACACCCTGCTGTTGTCACAGCCACTATAGGGACCTGCTCAACACAAAACAAGACACAGACAGAAAAGTGGCATCAAGGGACATTTGCATCAAAAGAAGACAGTCATGCTAAAGCAACACCTAGACACATAGAATCATAGAACATTTAGGTTGGAAAAGACCACTAAGATCTCTTAATCCAACCATCAACCCAGCCCCATCATGTCAGCTGAAAATTTGCTCTTTCAGGCAGTCTGTTGAGCTCTCTATCTGAGAACACCTTGGCTGCAAACAGAGCCTAAGAGAAGCAGTTGCTGACAGAGGCCTTGCTCCTGTTGCCATTTCAAGACCTAAGGGAAAGAAAGAAATCCCCAAGCAGTGCATTTCCTAGTTACCTCATGGTCTTGTAAGTCCTCTTCCAGATGAAGAACATCTTTCAGTGCAGCAGCAACCACCTTTCTCCGATTTTGCAGGAAGTTCTTTTCATCCATGCACAGGTCAAAACCCAGACGAGCATCTAGGTTTCTTGGCCTGAAGCACAAACCCTGGGTCCTGAGACCAGGGCACAAATATTACATGCTATTGCTTGCAGTAGTCATCCCAGTTGTGTTTACAGATTGGTACTTGAACAATAATGTAATAAATGAGAAAGTGCAACACCACAGACAGGCCTTTGCTAATTGCCTCAGCTTTTACTAAAAATGCAAATGGGAATGAAAGACAGAACACTTCATACTGCCCTGGTATTGTAATGAATTCCTATAGCAAGCTTCTGGTCTTGTTTGCTCATATAATTGATTTTTCAGTTTTCAGTATTGCCTACCATATGTGCCTGTAACAAGATAACCACCGTCAGCAGGCACTGTAGCTAATTAGGGAAATAGCTTCCATGCCTTGGATTTATTTTGTTTTTGTTTTTTTTATTTGTATTATACAGAAATATGATTTCAGTGTGGAGCTGTTCTCTCAATCCATGGGCATAACAGCGCACAGTTCTGAAACTCAAAGGAAAAGGGACCCCTGATTTAGTTATCCATCACTGAAAAAGGAGACTCTTGCACAAAAGCCTGCAAAGAGAAGCAGAGCAGTCTCGCTTGCAACTGAGCCTGCATTGCCCCCTGCTGATTTCAGATGTGTAGGTGCAAGTGACTCCCAGTTACAGCATCAGGCCTTGCTGAAAACTTACTTACCATTCATTTGCTTTTGCATACAAGTCAATTGTCCTGTCCTGAAAATCACAATACAAACACTGTAAGCACATTCAGGTCATTAATTCTACATCTTCCTCACCCTCATTATCTACAGGCTGACTTTTACTGCATTTGCTGCAGGATCTGGACAGCAATTGTCTGGGTTTTGAGATCGATAATGGGTTCCAGTGCAGTCTGGGCTGGATAGAAATAGGGCCCCTCTGCTTTGCATGGATGAACGTTTAGTTTCCCTTTGTTTTCAAGGGAGCTCACTGAAAGAGAGGCACCTGAACCACAGGCAAGTCAATGTTCACTGTTTTACCTTCTGCAGTTATCAGTCTTAAGTGTCTTACCTATTATTGTTAGCTCACATACAGCATTGATGATTGTATTAGATATGTCCTGAGGAAATCAGCTTAAGCTCAGAACAGAGTTGAAAAGTGTGCCTGGAACCACATGCAGAACAAACAAAACCAATAAATAAATATTGTATAGCTACACAGTGAGCAACTGTTATTCTCACTTTACAAATGTAGCATGTGTCTGACTGGAGCTGAATCATGAAGAGTAAAATTCATGTCACCCACCAAACTGAGCATAAGTTGGACTGGATTTTATAAGAAATACTTGCTCTCACCTCTGCTATAGTTATTTTCTCTTGTATAGGAAGCAAGTTCAGAGCTAGAGTCACAGACTCATTCATATCCCTTTCATTTTGACTTGATACAGACTGAAAAGGAAAAGAAAAGGTAAAAATGCAATAATCATAGTTACACAAGGGGAAAAATAAAAGGGGAAAAAGAGAAGTCTTCCCAGCCTCACATCCACACACTCGCTTCTCATCCTCTTCCTACACAGATCTGCATAACGCAGACCTCAGAGGTCCCCAAACAAACAGCATGTAGAATCATCTGCCCATTATGGGTGACCACATACCCTACTGAGCCGCCTGCGCCGTGGCAGTGACACAGTCAGCGCCGACTGATGGTGTTTGATGTAGTGGAACCTCGCTGGTGCAGCCGCACATAGGCATGAGTTCAGCGTGTGGGTCTGCATCCCCTCATATGAGCCATCCACTGTCAGCGCAAATTTTCTCTCTGAAGAGATGGCAGAACAAACGTCACATCCTCATGAACAGTCTTTGCTATCTTAAAGTTAATAATGCCCCAAACCACTCTATTAATGTCTGTACTTCATAACTACAAGGAAACCTCCTTCATGCCAGGAAACTGATCCCCACCAGTAGTCAGTGGGATCCAAGGTTGTTTACAACACCTTGCAAGTAAATTATGCTGAGAACTAAAAAGGAATCCTTGATTTAAGTTCTCTCAAAAAACGTGCTTTTCAGTATGGAAGTATTAGGAGGTCAGAGTATGAAGTTTTAAAAATTGCATAGGACATACACAGGCCTACAAGCACAGGCTCAACACAGCAGTGATGTGCTAATTATAATGTGCAACAGGTACCCTTGGTAATATACTGTGTCTCTCATCTTTCACCTAGTGGCATATTTTGTACTGTTACACGTAAAAGAAATTTTTAAGTGTGAAATTTGAGGAAAGAGTCCTAATGCTTATCTTTGCCTCTGAAGACAGGGAGATTTTGCTCTACTTCAGAGTTTATAAAACTTCAGTGTGGTACACAAACATTTTGGAAAGTCATAGCCATCTGACAAGAGGTTATTAGAGGATAAAGTCTTTTTGCAGGAAAATCAGATCACAAATTCTTCACAGTGCACTCAGTAGTTTTGATCAATTGCAGCCCACTCCAGAGGCCATTGATTTTGCTGAAATTTCACCTTGCATCTTCAGTCATTTTAAACAGGGGAGCTCAGGGGTGAAATGCTGAGTGCTTTTGCCATAACACTCTCCATAAATGAGCAAAAACTCACCTGTGCTGTCCTTTCTCAGCCTGCCACCATTCACCTGCACCTCCAGACAAGCAACTTCACGGGACTGGAAGAGACAGTGAGGAAAAGGGAAAAAGATATTCACTACTGGCTGAGCTCTGCTTTACCAGACCCATGGGCATATGCTTAATCTGTACACCACCCCTACCAGGCCAGGAAGGTGGCATTTGGCATCAGGATGAAGTGGGATGGATGCCCCAGGGAGGATGCTCAACCCAGCTGTAACCAGGCAGAATGAGATAGATGGATGTCCACCTGACCATGCTCTGTTTGGGTCTGCCCACAGCTAATGCCTCCATGCCACCCTATGAAGCAACTGCCCAGCACCATTAGTGTCAGCATAGCAGTAAACATGGCCCTACAGCAGGGAATGGAGTAGGTAAAAAAATTACCACTAAAACGCCATTAGTAACAATGTTTTCAGGAGGATCCGGACTGAAAGACAAAATGGAAAAAAATCAGTTCACAACTAGCACTCTCCAAATTCTTTTTTTTCCATCATCATTATTTCTCTATCTTTAAAAACTTGTCTTTGGACAGCCAGCATAGGCACATTAAACTCTAGTTGGGCATCAATCCAGTCTCTTACAGGTCTGATTCTGAATATTAAGCTCTATTTGTGAAGAGCTGCTGAGTAGCGGAGTTCCTCATTACATCAGATAGGATCATTTTCTGATGCAAATAAGTAAATTTATGGAAATGGCAGAATTACACTATTGCCTGGTATTGTTCGGGCATAAACCTGGGGGGACCACAGCTGAAAAGCTGGTGAATTCATCCAACATGCCATAATAAAAAGAGAAAAAAAAAATTACAATTTACCTTAAAAATCAACAGCAGCACTAGGACTGATTTACTTGCCCATTTTCTCCATTAACTGTACAGTCAGCATAAAAACACAGATCTACAAAATATATTTGTAGATCTATTTCCACTGTTAAAATTTTAAGTGACATTTTCCCGCATTCTCACAACAAAGCAAGCATCTGGGAACTGACAGTAAAGAGCAGAACAGGTTTAAAACTTAAAATGTCCTGCTGCACAGAACGTCCCTGCAGCCTAGGGAGCATCAGCAACTGGAGACATCTCTGTGCTCCTGTTAGTGGCAGTGCTCTAGTGTCTCAATATGCCCGGTGTTGATGCACACACATCACACACTGCCATGCACCTCTTTCTTAAATGTTATCGTACACAAGCATTTCCTGAACACCTGAAGTTCCCATCTGTTTTATTCAGACAATGACAGTGTTAGGGGGCTGCAAGCATAAACAGTATTTTGTACCAGAAATATTTTCTCTTTGAGTTACATTCCTCTATTGTTCATCCATTTAAAACTTACCTACTCTCCATTGTGAATTCAACCTCCAGCTCCTCTTTTCCCTGAGAAATTAAGAAAAGACAGTCACTATGTGACGATTCTTATATGCAGAAAGATACCCTGTAGGAATCTGTGCTCTTCAGCAAGCCAGCATCCACCTTTAGCTACTGCACATGCAACAGATTTCATTTTCCTTGTGTCGCATCCATTATATTTAATGTTGCATACACTGAATTTTGTAGGAATTATATTAGCAGGCTTCTAGTTTACACCTTGTGGGCCAAACATGAACACATTTTGCAGGACCTCTTGACAGTTCCTTTGCCTTTCCATAGGCATACATTCATCCTCACTAGTTCATAGACCACCTGCAATTCCTCTTCCCCTGTCAGAAACTATCAGTGCTCCCCACTAACTCTCAGCATGAGAAATACTGAATTTCTTTGGTGCTTTTAAACCATCCTGACCCTCTTCTGGCCTCAACCACAACCTGTATAAATGGGCCTGATGGCACACTAACATGGTGGCATGCCTTGGTGTATAAAGCCCAGGGTGCTCTGGAAAATGAACTTTGATTGAGTCCAATTGCATGCTCAGTCTTCATCTTTTGCAATCCCCCTTTGCAGGTTTTGGTGCAATTCTACATCCCTCACAGCCTTCTAGAGACAGGGAGCCTTTCTAAAACAGTTATAAAATCAAACCAGCACTCACACAAGTGATGTATTTTCAGACCTAAACATCATCATTAAAACTTTAGCGTGAGATTGTCTCAATTTCCTCAGAACCCTGAGTTCCAACCGCAAAGGACTGCCTAAATCTCTCAACATTTTAACATCAAGTAGAGCAACCAAACAAGTGTGATAACTTTGCTATCTGCAAAAGTAGCATCCCAAATTCACTGTAATTACAGGGACAAGAGCCTTTAGCAGCCCCTGAAACAGATGAGTATACTCAGCTGGCTAAATGGACAGTAAAAAGGGGGTATATACCAAACAGGTGAGAGAAAAGCTGAGAAAAACACATTCTCACCTAACCATGTTCTCTTAGCTTTGTCTTTGAAATTTATCCATACCTGTGGATTCAACTGGAAACTCAGCTGAATGTTTTCTCCAAGCTGGATTTTGGAGACATCAAAGAAAACAGTGAGGAGATGGTCATCTTGAGTTACGTTGTCCTCATCACAAACTTTCAGCTCCAGAATGTTCTGGAAACATGAAAAACAGATTGTGTAAGTAAGTAAGTAGGAATAAGATAGTACAGATAGTTCTGTTTAGCTGGAAGAATTTGGGTAAGAACTTCAAGAATGAATGCAAAGGAAACAGTGTTTTATTGTTTTACAGTTCGTCTCCACAGGCTCTATTGACAATTCAGAAACAGTCTAATTCATGTATTGAAAGCTAAATAACTAAAGGAAGTGTGAGTGCTTCATAAGAAAGAATACTCAAGAAAACACACAGTATGTGTGGCTATGGTTCTATTTAAGAAGGCATCTGGGCTTCTGTCTTCAGCCTAGTAATCAGGAGACGCCTAGAGAGTAAGTGCTAACATAGCTACATTTCATACCTTAACCTGGCTCTGAATCGTAAAGTGGAAGGTCTCATTCCATGTTGGGTTCTTGGTGTTAGGAATTGTTTTCGTTCGGAAATTCTGCACCGAAGCTGTTGGCAGTCTCAGGCTCACATAGCAATCCGACTGGGTTACTGTGGAAGAGAGTATGAAAGTAACAGATTAGTAAGCCACATTTAGCACCCCATAAAGTGTTGCACTGATTGAATTTTTGAGTTCACAAGGCAGAATGCAAGCTGGGAGGCCACATAAGATGTCATAAAGTCAGTACTATATGACCAAAGGTAGTAGTAGAGAGAGTAGTAATGGCATTTGCAACACAACGGGCAGGTGAAATCTTGTCTGTGCTTTCCAGCACAAAGTGAGGTGATGTTGATACTTTGCACAAGATTGCGTTGTTCTTGCCTTGTTTTTTCAATCTGGGTCATAGAGTTTAGCTATGAATTTTTATGTGGCCAGATACTAAGGAGGGGAGCTTTAGGGTTTTAAATTCCCTTTCCCAGTTGAAAAGCTCAGCTGTAGAGTTTGGTTTCCCACATGAGCTACTTTGTAAGTGAGGGATGTTGGGGACCTAAGTTTTGGTATGAAACAGTGGTTAGCAGCTGTCTACAGTGCTTTGTTCATCATTTCTGCCCGGAATGCTTTTTGTCATAATCATTAAGTAGTAAAAAGTAAATGTGAATCATGAGATTTACAATCCTTTGGATCCATGATTCGAAGTCAAGGTTGACCACTCTACAGAACACAGTTTATTGGTTAGGAGCAACAAACCACATAAATGCCAAAGATAGCATGGACACAGTATTGCCCACAGATGTCAATCTCATCATCAGCATTATATTTTCTCTATTTTTAATGCCACCTACTCAAGCATTCCTTTAACCGCAGCGGACACACCCTCATCTGACTACACTTAGTTTTGTCCCATTTAGTTTTAGCAATAGACTTGACTTTTGGGAAATGCAGAGTCACTGACTTGGCCCTTAGCCACGTGCTACTGAAGAATTAGTGAACTTCTTTTTTTCTTTTTTTTTTTCTCTTTTTTTTTTTTTAAATGACTGCCCTGAGATTTTAGTCATTTTGTGTAAGTAACTTTGAAAAAAAAAGAGTAACTTTGATTAAAGTTGTTGTGGTATATAATATATATATATATTTAAATTATAAACATACCAAAACACAGAGAGATCACACAAATTCACAGAGTCCTAATAGCTCCCAAACTTCCATTTATATAGAGGAAATCTTCATATGAAAATCTTTTTTTGATTGACTTTGATTCTTCTTTTTTTTTTTCTCCACATTGAGATTAACTCACTCCCATCAGATCTCAGAGGATCAGAAGGATCCACTTAAGTTTGTGAGCGACCTTGATACTGTGCTTGATCCACTCTATGTACAAATAGATGTGAGGACTGGCACTCCACTCTATCCATCATTGGTGCAGCAGAAAACTACACTGCCTTATGTTGAGAAAATTTTCATTTATACATACAAGGCTCTCTTTAGCAGGCACATGCGTGCAAATCCTCATTATTCTAGTACGTAACCCTAACACCACCTGACTATAGAAGGGGAACAGCAGTGATGATGCTCATATGACGTACACAGCAGAACTTCCCAGCAGCAACTGGTGTACCTCACCTTGACCATGACACATTTGTTGAAATGTACTTGGGGTGGCAGCCATAGTATCACCGTGGGGCAATATCCTGCCAGAAGCAGGTGTGGCAGCAGGTGCTTATGAAAGTACAGTCTTCATGCAATTATTACGTTACGTTTCTAATTATCTTACAGGATAGCTGCAGGACTGGATCCTAATTGCACTTTGCCATTAGAAAGCATTACAGCTGCATGACCCATGCTAAAAAACACCATGGTCCCAGTACCATGCTGCACCTCAGACAACAGCAGGGCACCAGCTGTTCTGGCTAAAACATGAAGTTTCTCCTATTTTTGATATTAACAGATACAACTTCCAGCCTTCATGGATAGCGGTCTGGGCATCCTCCTCCTCTTGGACTGCCTGTAAGCACTCAAATGGAGGCCAATTCTAGGGGAAAGGCTTTCTTATGGCTCTCAAAGTATAGTTTTTCTTATTGTACTGAAAACAAGAATGTGGTCTCAAATATTGATCTGTTTGCCCAAATCATTACCGTGGTCATGGATGTCCTTCACTTGGACCATCTCATGAAATATAGACCATCACCAAAGAAATGCATTTTTGCTCTTCATCCAACTCTGGGGATCTGAGTAGAGATATGGCTGTGGATGGGTAGATTAACAGTGCTGTTTTCTAAAATGCAAATTATTAGATAATTTAGATCACTGAGGGTTTTTTGCTTTGTTTGGTTTTGTGTTGTTGCTTGTTTTTAACAAAGAGGACATGGGCTGCTTCTATGGAAATAAATGTCTTTGTTTCCAAGGCCCTTCACAATATAACTATAATAATTCAGACAGGCCTGGGAGAGCATTTCCTTCCTCCAGGCAACTTTTAATGTTAATCTCCATCGCCTATAACTAAACTTCAATAAAAAGCTTTCTCACACATTCACACCTTAGCCTTCACCTAGGGTGGCACACTGTAAAGAAAGCTGTATCGCTATTGTAATTTACACTATTGGTATTTGCAGAATCTTTGCTGAGATTCTACCAAATAACAACCTCACTGTTTTTCTTTATTTTTTTTCCTTATTCACACCCTCTTATTATTAAACAGGATTTCAAGCAGCATCTAGAACAATGGTACATAATGGCAGCTGCTTAAATATCATGGTGAAGTAAGTAATAAATAACAATGAAATAATAATTTAGTGCAAAAACCAAACACCAGAGGAAGTCTGCGAGTTCCTGTAATAAGCATCAGATTGGACCACAGATCCTCAAACAATACTATATTTCACCAACTGTATTTTAATTTCAGGGTCTCAATGACCTTTCCACAACTTGATTTCATGTACAGCAGAACTGCTACTGCAATGCCATAAAATATGTTTTAAAATAAAAAATATAAACTATACTTCATGATCTTAAAAAATATTGCATCCAAAATAACATAGGCCTTAAATTTAAAAAAAAAAAAAAAAAAAAAAAATCAAACCTGAAATCTTTCAAAACTGACCAGTCTAGTAATAAATATATTAAAAAAATAAAAGTCTGCTTTTCCCTCCTCACTTTTTCCACCAAGACATTCACAAAAGATCATTATTTCGCCAAGAAAATGCTGAAGAATTTACTTAGTTCAGCCAAGGTCCACTTAGCCCAGTGTCTTTCTGTATCTACCGAATCTCTAGAATGCTTTCAGAAAGCAAATTATGATGGCTTGAAAATGTTCATCTCAGATTTCTCCCCAGCTCCCTACTTTTAGCTTTTTGTTTAATTCTCAACACTTACGTTTTTTTTGTTTGTTTTTATTCAATTCCACTTAATGAATTTCTTCCTCTACAGGATCTTTTTCTTTAGTTCTTTTGTCCCTTTATTGGGGAAGGATTTTTCATCCTGTTAGGAATGGAAATAAGTGCCAAAGAAGACCATGCCCCACATTTGATGGGCATTTAAGTGCATAAGAAGAGGGTAAACATCACACAGTGCTCTCAGTCCTCAGTTTTATTTTCAGAGACTTTCTAAGCCAACCTTTGCTGCTTTTTTTTCTTTTTCTTTGTGAACATGGCTAATCTCTGTCTTGAGCCTACACAAATTTTTGACATCCATGTACTTTAACAGGCTGAGCATGAAATTTGAAATTGTCCAAATTTCAAATGAAATTTGAAATTGTTTTTAAGATTGAGTTGGATTGGTGCACATCCAAGTCTCACCCTATTGAGGAGTCAGGATGCAGACAAGGTACACACCCAAATCTGGGAACTGGCAAGTGTTTGCTGGTCCAGGAATATTAATAACTCCAATGAGTCTGATGGGTGTTCTCAGTGAGAAGAGGGAACATGCAGATCACAAACATGGCACCAAAGTCACAGAGGACATCAGTGATGCATGAATACACAAACGGAAATCAATGTTGATGTGTTATTTACACATTGATAAATTAGTGGTAAAAAGAGATGAAATAGTATAAGGATGTATTAAAAGGATGAAGAGTTGAAAAAATTGAAAGTAATTTGTCTTTGAACTTCCAGTAAAAGTCTTTGTAATACGTGTTCTGCAGTTGACGCTATTGAAGTTTTGAAACTATTGTGATGGATTGGTTTTCCCATTACCATTTACTGTCTAGAAGATGAAGCAGATAGAGCGATAACGAAATTAACTCATAGTACCCCAATGAAAGAATGTCTAAGCACTAGATGAGTATTAAGCAAAGCGATGCTAAGACTGCACAGAAATAGTGCAGGGAAGGATCTTCAGAGGAGAATATAACAAAAAAGGATAAGCATGAATGGAGAGAAACAGGAAGAACTGATTTTAGGTATTGAAATTGTTTAAGAAGGCCAGGAAATAGGTGACACTTGCCATCCTGTTCTAGTCAGGAAAGTTTTCAGGAAAAGGACAGCTATTTAAAAAAAAAAAAAAAAAAAAAAAAGCTTGAAAAGGACCAATAAGAAAAAAAATCGTTAAGAAAATGGTACTGTAAGTAAGTCAGTGTAGCTGGGGATGGAAGCTCACATACTTTGGGGTTTCCTAAGTGTGCCAAACTAATCTCCAGGTGATTATAAATGTGACAGAAAAATATGTTCCCCAGAGGTACACAAAAAAGTAGCTAAACATTACAAAAGTGGTGCATTTTCCATCTTAAGACTCCCAATTATTTCTTCTCAGAGAAAGCCACATAGTTACAAACAGGAAACTTGCACTAGCTTTTCCATTGCCAGTGACTATCCAGATGTGAAAGTCATTATTTTAAAAAAAATTGAATCACAGTGTTATTTGTTATGATGAAGAGTGTATAATTGAAACATATGACTTCTGCAAGTCTCACTGTATAGCAAACTACAGGCTGAAGTGGCTTGAAAGCAAAATTTTCAGATAAATGGAAGTAAGCAGATATCAACAAAACTGGACTCAGAAATCAAGTATATGCAAGACAGTGTTATGACTGGTACAATTCTGTAATCCTCAAAATACAAGTTCCTGGGTACAAAGCCGAGTATAGAGGAGAGGATGTGATTTTTGGCATTGAGTCCTGGACTCCAGGAGTGATAACGAGAAATCCTAGTCAACAGAGCTAACAAGCAGACATATAACTCTCTTTTCTTTGCTATCCACTAAGTGGAGGCTGCAGTTCACTTAGACTTACAAAATGTCTTGTTTACAGACTGGCTGAGATTCTTACCTGTGCATCTCCTAGCATGCTAGTATGGATACCAAAAGACTAACTGCCCTACCTGACAGGAAAGGTGTTTATTTTACATCCAAACATTATTCCCAACTTCTCTTCAGTATCTTGGACAGTTCTTTCAGAGATTCTCTGCAAATGGTGGAAGTACCCAATAAACAAAGCATTCACCTTTACAAGCATGGTATTTATTCTGTTTGCGCCATTTTCTCTCTCCAGGGTTTGACTGACGTGACCATTTCAAGCAGATAACAGCTTGGCAACATTGGTGATGAAATGCTTGTTGCCCTGTTAACATCCAGTACAAGTTTTGCAGCGTAATACAAAATAACCTCAGCCTGGAGAGCCTGTGCTGCTCAAGACCCCAGGGCATGCCCTGTAAACATTGCAGCCATTCAAACCTCTCCTTTGAGGAGAGGTAGGGGCCAGATGAACTGCCTCATGCCAGCAAACTGAAATGTTCAACCAACTCAGTACTTGGCCTGGGCACTAAAAATTTCTGCTGTTTGCAAGGAGAGCAGCAGAACAGGCAACTCCCTTCAGAGTCAAAATAGTTTGAAACCAGAAGCAAAATTTGTGGAGAGGAGGAAAAGGCGGAGAGTAAATTCAGTAAGCTCATTATCATGCAGATGACAGGACATGATTATCAGGGAATATATCTAAGGGCCCTGTTTGTCCACACCTCTTTCTTTCCATTCAGAGCCTTAGAGTTTGTACCTTCAGTTTGGTTTTGGCTGTAGCAGGAGATTTTCCTCCAGCCTTTAAATTATCACCTTAAATTCAGATCACCTTTCCACGCATTAGGAATAAGTTCATACAGACTCTTCTTCTCCATACATTCAACAACAAGAATTTATCTTGCTTCTCTTCAGAAAAAAAAAATAGAATGATAAACTACTCTTTATACATATTTGAGCTCTAAAGAACAACAGCAGTATTACAGAAAGGCCCAAACTAATCTCTTGTGGAGCTACAGACCTGCATCATTTTAACTCAGCAAATTTAACTTGGTTTGGTTACTACAGAAACGTTCCAGACTGAGACCCTCCTATCCACGTAAGTGAATAAATGCAAGATAATCAGCCAGCTACTCACACTGGAAGTGGTTGTTTCACCTTCTTCTCTAGTGCTTTGCTGGTCAGATTTTTATGGAGTACTAATAAATGTTTATATACTTGTCAACTTCTGAATAGTTTGGAAAAATTACTAATAACAGAAACAGTAACAGTGCAAGCCCTCTACTATGCTATGAAACATCTCCTATGACTGAATCAAATGCAACAGACACAGAATGATAGAATCATACAGACTGGACAAGATCCATTAAATAAAGATTAACCAGTACCTAACACAATAAGGTCCACCCCTAAACCATGTCCCTAAGCACTGCATGTACACAACTCCTAAATACATCCAGGGATGGTGACTCTACCACTTCCCTGGGCAATCTGTCGCAATTGTGCAACAAGTGTTGCACACTATTCCATAAAAGATGAGTCCAATGAGAGATGTCAAATATCCAGTCTTGAGCACACATAAAATATTCTGTGCTATGCACAGGTTGGACATCAGTGTAAGAAGCAACCATAGAAAGAAATGCCCTCATCTAAATTTATTCATACACTATTTCCTTCAAATAAATATCTACACTTTTTTTTCACAATTGAATCTACATTTTATGCATTCTGTGCAAACAGATCTGAACTACATAGAGCTGATGGATGGACCTCAGTATTATGCTGACAAAAATCTAAGAATAATTAATATGAACTATGCTACTTCATCTTCACCAACCACAGTCAAACATCTCTGCTTCTCTCCTTTTAGAAATGCTCTGTGATGTTTTCCATACTTGGTTATATTTCAAGTAAGTTTGCAAGCACGTGTATACTCTATAGGTATATAAAGATACTCACACAGGTCTGCTTTCCTGGCATTTTTCATCCGTATGATTTTTACGGTGAGTAAGTTGCATGGAGAAGGTTCTGTCTATAGAAGAGCAGAGTACAAAATACACGGGATTATCACGTAGAGAGAAAGAACAGAAGCACAGTCAGATATAGTGTTGAATTAAATGTTTCAATATCAACCACATAAAACATTTCTAGACTGAGGCTCTTCCTTGTGCATCATCTTCTCTGTCTTCCCAGAAGGTTTACAGCCAGGTGTGGCCAAAGTCCCTAGATGTACACTCAGCCACAGACCAAATCTCCACTGTCCTCCATTTTTCATTCTGAGGAAACTCATGGAACTCCTCAGATTGTAGTGGTTGACTGACTCTTACAACTCAACCACAGAAAAATAGTGAGCTTCACTGTGTTGTATTAATACAACTGATACACATCTTGGTCTGTGCAAATGCAAAGTATGTTATATAGATCTACTTTATTTCACAACAAATAGTGGTCAATCTAGCAGAGCAGGAATTAGTAATGGTATCATGATGTTGTAACATTGTGTGTCAGCTGGTATATAGCTATATACCTCCACTATTATGTTTGATGTAGATCAGCATTGGCTTTCAGAAAATGAGGACCTGAAAAATGTCTTCCAGGAACCCATTCCAAACTTCTCTGAAGGGGGCAGCATAAGAAACAATTCTGTAATTATTTCTCTCAGAATAATTTAGGTTATACAATACTCCTTTAAGCAACGACACAGGAAAGAGTCATTGGAAATCCTGGGATACCACATATACCTAGGTGGTTATCAAAAGATATTTAACAAACCTGCCAGGGAACTGGTTTGATTTTGTTGAGCAAGGAGTGGACAAACACAACACTAAATGAAATGTATGGGGGGCTGAAGGTGAAGTAGTTTGCTCCCTAGATTATTCCCTTTCTTAAAGGAATGAAAGGAGAAAAAAACTCTGCAATTTAACACTGAACCAACCAAAGAAAACAAGCACCAACACCAAAAAAAAAAAAAAAAAAAAAAAAGAAAGAAAGAAAAAGAAAAAAGACCATATTTTTGTAACAAATACATGGGAGAGCTCTTGCACACTACTCATTGAGCAGGGAGTATCACTGCCACAAGTATGTAGATCCACATATAGCAACGAAAGCCTTCTGTGTCACCATCCATTCACTAATGCCCACAGACTCCCACAGTTTCTAGGAGAGCCCACATTTAACACCTTTCTGGCTTTTCCTCTGTGCTCATTCACATTAGTTACATCTCTATAGTTTTCATCAGTGGGTTTTTTGCTAGATCCCACTGGATGAGAGTTAAGCAGCAGTGTACAAAGTGGGCATTTACAAAATATGGTACAATTGCTACAGTATGAAAGCTCTTAGATTTCTCAAAGCAAAAAATCAAAGCGAGCAGAAAACCCAGATAGAAGCCAGTCATTGCTGTCAGCCCAGGTGCTGAAGAAGGAATCTCAGAGTTGAACAATGCTCCTACACGAGGTCCCATCTGCCCCTAAAGCTGCCTGGACAGCTCATCCCAGAGCCTCTTTTTCCCTTTCCTTACCTGGCTTGTGCTGTAAAACAACCCCATCGTGGTCTTCCCCGCGTTCAAACCAGGTGTGAAATGCAGCAGCGGATGGGTACTGAGGAGCACCCAAAGCTTCTGGTGCTTTAAGCTGCCTGGAGCAGACAGGCAGGTGTGTGGACGACTGACTCAGTTCCAACCTCGCCCCAGCCACCAGCCCTTGAGCAATCTCCAGCTCCTCCTCCTCACTGCTGGCAGGTGACACATAGATACCCCAGCAGAAGGATACTCTTCCCAGCTGCAGTTAGAGTGGTGTCAATATCCAGCAGGAATCTTCCCTTTGTAGGTTTTAAGGAGGCTACATAGCTCTTGCATACCAGAGGGTCAGGATGCATCCTCCTGTGCAAAATCAGCTGCACCAGCAATGATCTGTCCAACTGCACATGGCTTCCTTGGCCCAGAACATCCAAGCAAGTCATTGAGAATGCAAAAGAGCTTTTGTAGTCTTTTATTGCCTGTGAGTGGGTATTTGCTTAAAGACATATGAGAAAGATGATTTTTCATCCCTACCTCAGCTTCCATGGTGCTCTCAGGCAGTAAGCTGGTCTTTCAGCCAAGTGGTTACTGCAGTGAAAAATATTGCCAAAAAATTTCCAAATAGCTGTTGAGACTGCAAGAGAATTTCCATGGTAGAGGCAAAGCTTTAAAGGCTCAGTCACTTTCTCAAAATTTTGAATGATCTCAAAGATAACATATTTGGATGATGTCACTTGAAATTAATGTTACTTATTCTTCATGTTCTAGCATAATCTTATATCCCTGCATTTATAAGACTTTGCTTTGCAGGGCACTGTTGGCATTACATGAAATCATCAGAGTGCTTAAAGTGAATACATAGCAGATAATGAAATTGAAGACTTACTTTTAAAAAAAGAACTTCCTTGCTATTATGAAATTTAATTTAAAAAATGAACTCAAAATTTCATTTCATTTTGCAATGAAATGATAATTGATTAAGGTAATTCCACAGATATTATCTAACTTGAATTCAATAAGATGTTTGACATCCAAAGATACTGTAACATAAGAAGTGGATGCAACAAGAAGCAGCAGTGAAAGGAAATAATCCCCAAAAGATTGCAAACAGTTCAGTTTTAAGCCTATTGCAGGCTAAATTAGTTTTATCGAGAAAATAAACATTTTGGACACGCTGTTTTGAACAGATGATATTGAAACAATGGGAAGATAAAGGGAAGAATCATGGAGCAACCTGAGTGCAGAAGGAACCCCCCCCCCCCAATGACAGAAAAGCAAGTTTCCTATCAGCAGGACAAAATGCGGAGATACCCCAGGGCTGACTCGGGAAGCAACACTGTTACGTCTTTGCAACAATTCGTCATAGTTACTTAGGAAATGGACTAATTAGTCCTTATGAAAAAGTTGGTTAATGAGGCTCAGGTTGTGTCATGTACCTATCTGGCTTTTTTCTCTCCTGTTGTTAAGTTTTTCCAGTAAAAACAGATAGAAAGAGCTTCTACCCTGCTCTGCTTCATTTCCTCCCAGAAATCCTAGAAACCACAAATCAAACTGATATCTGGGAAAGACCCAAAGGTATTCCTTGAGCTGATTCTAGTGTTCGGGAGCTGAATCACAATTACAGTTGCCTCATAACATGCAGGGCTAATAATCTGAATTTCAACATGCAATACTGCACCTGGAAACAAGGTTACACCACGTCCTTTTATTATTCCTCTTTTATTACCAAAAGCAAGACAATCCCAAGCATTATTTGAGCTGCTGTGTGCAGACTCTTCATGTATCACAGTGTAGAGCAGCTGTTGAGAAAGACAACTTGTGATCTACCCACTGCAGAACTGTGAGAAGATTGCCTCTGGCAACTAGCTTCCCTCAGAGGGCCTTTTGAATTTTTGATGATGGGAAAATCACTCTTTCAGCACAATCTCTACAAAAAAAAAAAAAAAAAAAAAAAAAAAAAAAAAAAAAAAAAAAAACCTATTTGCAGGAAAATGCTGAACAGTTACAAAAACTGTATCTGGAAGATTGCTCAAAAGGTCTTCTTGCATTGTCGTATTCTATGCACCAGCTATCAGCCACTTCCCATTCTCCGAAACATTAGAAGATGGACTGCTGACAGGAACACTCAAGACAGGTGAAGATGAGAGGCAGAACACGCAGCAACTCCAAGAGAAAAATCAAAGTAGCTGGGAAACACAGCAACTACTTAGGCTGAATATATGTGGTTCTGTGAAGAGCATTTTAAAGGACAATTATGACAGTATGAAACAGTGACAACTTCATTCTGAGTTGTTTGGGTTTTCTTTTAATAAATGGTCAAAGCTTCATAGATTATTTTTAACACTGGTAGTAACTTGAAAAAAAGCACTTATTTTCAAAGACTAGTGAAGTAAGTGAGTTAAAAAAAAATCTCGTAGTAGACAATCACATCAGAGATGACAAACTTCATAATGTCAATGATTAAGATAAGCAAGACCAACACAATCAATAAGCTAACAAACAGAGAGATTCCAGTTCAAGGGATTGCTGCTTGGCCAGACAGAAAAACGTATGAGTTTTGGTTTGATTCACATTTTTAATGCGCTACATATTACATTGTAATCACAGAAAACACTATATTAAATTATATTATATATATCTCCACTGGAAAAATAACAAGGTAACAAAACTAAACGTAAATTTGTTGTTTTGAAGTTTCTTTTGGATTAAACCACTGTGAATTCCATTCTGCCCATCTGAACAGTCACTTAAATAGAATGAACTGGAGTCCATCAATTCCAAGGGGTGATGCAATTTCAACTGCAGATTAGAGTGGCAAGCATCAAACAGTTTAATCTCACTAGATGACAGACAACTCAAGAAATATCACATGGGAGTTTAAAGTTAGCAAATGGCGGCTAGTAATTCCTCTGCTTCCTCCGTGCCACTGCCATGCGCAAAGCCTGAATAATCAAGTTTTCATTATTCAGGACATTGTAATCAGTCAATTTCACCAGTTTGTCAAAATTCTCTTCACTGAAACAGACCTCCCTTGTTGTAAATGGGGAAAGGATACTGCAAACATCAACTCTGCCTTCAGCCATCTCTTCAGGACTCCTTTCCACACCTGAGGGAAAAACCACAAGAGGCAACAGTAAGATTTTAACACAGCATGTAGTTATATCAATGATATAATTATACCAATTAAGTAATTTTAGGTAGAAAAGAGAGATTTGAAGGAGAAGTGATTAGCTCAGTATCATCATATATTTCAGATTCTGAATCAAGCCTCTGCCCAAGACTGAACTATACCCATGTAGCTGGGAATAAGAAAGCCATCCATTATCAGCAGAAGCACTTGTAGACCACTGCTTAGAAAACATGGAGTCTTTGTTGTTCAAACTAGAGATGAGGAAGCAGAAGGAAAACAATCTTGTACTGGAATAGCAATGCCTACTGGAAGTTTGGGAGAAATGATAACCCTCAGAGAGAGGACACAGTTCATACTTAAAAATAAATAAATGAATAAATAAAATTAAAAATAAAAAAATCCCAGTCCATTCAGTTCTGAATTGGGAAGAAGATAGTCTAGCAGACTACCACCAAAACCTATAGAATGTTTCGTTTCTTTTTGCAAGTATTGGTGCATAAGAAGTGTGTGTCAATATAGTATGACCGCTTGAGGACCTGCTACCCATGCTGTATATATTTTGGAAGATTTACCTTCTTGCTATCTCAAGCAATTCTTGTAGAATAAATGCCTGTTTTCATCCTAAATATATTAGATCAGTTTCTGTGGTTTGCTTGGTTCAGAGATACTAGTACAGAGTAGTTCTTTGTCAGCAATGAGACTACGTCAGCATTAGAAAGAATGTCAGAGATAACCAGTGAGAGGTTAGATATGAGATGGAGAAGGCACACCAGGCAAGTAACTCTTTATTAAAATTGGAAGATACAGGTGACTCACCAGGAGCTTTATAGTTCTTGAAAGTGTCGTTCACTAAGGGGAAGAAGAGCACTGTTGGAACTTGTGGACTGTCAGCATCTTCAAAAACATAACATTCCTTCAAGTTTTCCCTGTCTTCATCACTTATCTCAATTTTAGGAAACGGAATTCCTTGCCCCGATATGTATTTTGCAATCTGATCCAGAGGCTGAATGAATAAATAAAATAAAGAAAAAAAAAAATCACAGAAGATCCAGTACTCATTTTTTTTAAGTTCCAGCAGCTAACAGTTACAATCCAAGGCTTGAATTTTCTTCCTCTGGGAATATGTTAAGTTTCAGAAATATGATCTTAACCATACCATACATTACAACTTATTTATTTTTTCTTCATTGCTTCAGGCAAAACAAGAAAATACCCACTTTCTACAAACCTGCAAATAAAGCCAAAAGCCAGAGGACTGGTTTTGTGGTTCTAATTAAACAGTTTCTCTAAATGGGCTCAGGAGGGAAAGGAAATACAAAACTGCAAGAATGGAGAAGGAACCAATCAGTCTAGATACTCTGCACCACTGTCTTGACCTCTTCAATATTTGTCACTTCTCCAATCTTTCCATCTTCTGCATGGTTTGCAGTCATTTAAAAATGACTATTATCAACATATTTATATGTGACTATTTATCAACATACCTACTGATCTCATAAAGAAAACAGTTTGTTTAAACAGCTATATTTACTGTAAGTCTATGTTCATTTTTATAATTATCTCACTACATACGCAACATTAATTATCTTATTTGTCTTTATTAATCAAGTCCAGCTTCAGCTAGTCCATTTTTATAAGACTAACATGAGATAAACAAGCCCAGAACCACATAGATTTTTCCATGTAATCTGTTAAAATTTTGTAAGGACTCTGATTACCTTTGTAACTTTCTCAATTCAGAGGTAACCAAAAATCAATATCAGAGTACCTGGTAATTCCTTAATCATTCCCCTTCAAAAACCTTATGTCCACTGCAGCAAAGACTTTGATGATTTTAAAACACTAATATTCATCCACTGTCTCCGATCATCCTTCTTTGCTACTGAGAAATTAATCTAGTAATCTAAGTAATAAATCATCTTAAT